TGCACCACGTGGAGGTAAGTCTATCGCACACCCAATTTTATTATATATAACTTTCATTCATTCATTCATTCATATGGTATTGCGCAGGTTAAGTTTAAATAAGCATGGTATATTTTTTCGTTCTGAACAAACCCTTAAAAACATATTGGTAAGGGTATTTGATGAGAAAATGGATGAGTAGACATGAGATGCGTGCGTTGCACTTAATCAAGTTATCATTTTTCTACCTATGGCCTCTCATGTGTCCTATTTCTCCTCATTCAGAGATTGAACTTAATTTCAACCTCCCCCTTCGTGATTTTAACTTGTCTAGGTTTTAGTCTCGCCAATCGCCGGAGCAACAGCAAGTGGTTCATTTCAGTAGTCAATGTGGAGGCAATTACTAGCACAAGAAGATTCGTGAGTGTAGTTGTAGCGGATTGCTACCTTAGTAAAGCCTGACCGGCTCAGAAATTTCTATGGCAGATTCTCCAACATCTAGCTATACTCCAAGAACCAGCTAAGCTATAGCCCAGCCATAAAGGAAACAGACGTGTAGCACGGAGCCCGTTTGTTCAGTGAGTATATTGCGGATAAAGTGTTCACGCAGGGAGCTACTCATGATCAGGATGGGGAATTAGGTGGAGGTTAATGATTGGTCACTGTTTGTACGATCGCTGCACACAGAGTTCTAGTGATTGGCCACTGTTTGTACGGTCGCTGCACACAGAGTTGTGGTCGCTGCACACAGAGTTGTATGGCGCACCTCCCAATCCTGGCGAGCAGACATGCAGGCATAAGATGACGCACACAGCGATAACGTGTCCCACAAGGTAGATATGTGCACACAGCGATAACGTGTCCCACATGTCTAAGCCAGCTAGATGACATGAGAGATGACCAATTGTTGAGTGATAACGTGTCCCACATAGTCAAGTAGTCTGATATTTTTTTAGGTAGAAATTGTCCTAACAACACTTTATCCATTGGCTTTATTCCCTTAACTTCGAGTAATTATTAGTCTGGCGGTATGTGTATCTTTCCTGCCTGATTAGGATGTCAATTATGCTGGAGCTGTGTGCCTCACTTTTACACAATGTGTCTTCTTTACCCTTTTTCTAGTCTTTATAACCACTAAACCATGACACCTTATTGGTTTTCAATATTTTTCTTCAATCACATTCTCTACGAGGTTGTTTTGGTTTTTTTCATCTTCGAAGTTACAGTGATGTTGCTAAGACTCAAACCCTCAATTGCCATATCTAGATTCCCGTACCGTTTCTCATCTGTTTCTGTAAACGTCAAGTTTCATTTAAGAATTCACCGAATTCTTGCCTTCGTGCCTTCCTTGTCCAGGTAAATCATGGAAACTCCCTCTGAATTTTCCACCACGCACAAAATTTGCTTTCACGGTTCTCTCATTTCTTGTTTCAATGTTCGGTATGTTTGGCAATGATTGGAAGGATTCATGCTGAAGGTTGAAAGTTAGCACCTTTTAAAGTTACCCCTCTATTCATATGGCAGCCAGTAAGCACATGAATAATCTTGGCTACTCACCGGCATTAGACTATGATTCAGATTTCATAAAATGGAGAGATCAGTGTCTCGATAGACTGGTATATAATATTTTCAAATAAATGAATGCCTATTTAAATTAGCTTCAATTGATGATTTCACCAACCATTATAGTTTATTTTCTATTTTCTGAGTGAGATTTATCTCACTTCATGCAAAAATTGATCAAATAAGATCATCTTTTTACATGTTTGTTAATCATCCTTTCCTGATGTCCATGGAGTACAAGGAAATGTGGGCTATTTTACAGACTATGTTTTGTAGATTTTAATAGTTTGAATTTTCCTTTTTTGATTCTCGTCATCATGATCTTCTAAAACGTTTTTTATCACTGGAACTAGAATTATCATGTTTTCAAGCATTTCACGAATTAGTTATTTAATTGCTTGTTGTTCTTACTTTGCATCCTGAATTATTACTAATATTTTATAATATACATATAATTGGATATTGACCTTACGTATCACTCATCCTATTAGCTATGCTATCTCTAAACGAGACGAGTTGTGCCCTGTCTTAGATCAATGCACGCTAAGGTCTGGAAATTTTCTGTTAAAACCATGCATATGAGACAACTCAAAAACGATGCCTTACTTGTATCTGAAATGGGTATATTCGTTTGTTTACTTCCGGCGTTCTGACTTCGTGGAGTTCGATGAAAGTTAAGGTTTAGTTGCAAGGAGTGGTTAGCCTAAAACGGCATCTTTCTTGAAGCAGTAGAAGCACTACGTTCGTATAGCCGGAGACCTAGTCGTAAGTGGTCGTAGGGACTACCGTCTCTTACAGTTATCCCTTAACCAGCATACCGAAAATGGGTTTGATCAATATTTTAAATAAATCATAAGACGCCAAAATTCCACTCTTTATCACCATTTAACAGTTTACGAAATGTTATAGTTGTAATAAAGAGAAACTGTTCATTATTTAAAACTTTCAACTTTAGGAATTGCTATGAAATATTCTTAATATTTGAATCTTTAAAATGTACATTTGCATGTTCTTAATTTTTATATCAAATGAAGGGGTTAATTGAGCATCAAACTATGTACCTGAGTCATTTTCAGTCACGTGCTAGATTGGTACCGAATTAGCGTATAAACGTGAAGGCAGTCCGTGACTTATAATGATTTATTGGAACATGCTATTGTTTATTGTTTTTTTTCTTTAGAGCTTGCGGCATGACAGATTATGCTCCGGCACTAATTGTCCCAACACGTTCAAGTACCGGATTGATTATTTTCTTTCACCGACTGTTTTTTTAAGTTCTAACTGCATTTCTTGTTTATATTTCTTATCAAACCTAGAAACAGTTTTGATCAATTTGCCTGTAACTTTCATAAATTAAATATACTGATTTATCCCCCTTGTTATAATGTTTTCGTTCAATCTCATATTTAATGGAAATAAAATGTACCATTGCATTTATATAATAAAAGAAGAATTTATCAGATTTTCTAAATACCCTTAGTCCCCAAATCTATGTGAGCACAATAAAAAATGAATGCAGGGAAATGTAGGCAGTAACAGGAAGTAGAGTACAAAGAAGGCCCTAAATTGCTTTCACCGCGCTCGATAGCTCGACCCCACTTTCCAGAATCCTTTAGAATTCAAGAACCCTTTAATAAGTATTGTTGCCTCTGTGGTTTCCACCAAATATTTTTAAATAAGAACGAAATGAAAGGGAGTGGTATAAATGAGAAAAAGACAAAAAATTAAATGGGATTAGGGTAAAGGATTGAACAGATAAGAATTAAAAAGTTGCTTGATTTCTGATGAATAACAAAGTGACTGTTATCATCTAACACTAGTGCCAATGCATAAGTGCGTCAACATTTTCCTCAAATTTAAATATGCAAACACTAAAAATTAGACTACATGACAAGTTTCTCATCTTTAATAAGCTGAGCTTAAAGGTAACTGACAAATGCGTAGGTGCTATTTATTTGGTCTCATGAGTAGCAATTAAATATTGGCCACTTTCATCCTTCTAAAAAACAACAGTTAAGAGCAAAATTAATTAAAAATTAAAATCAAAGCAGGTTGTGAGGTAAAATATTAATGTGAATATAATAAGGGAGATATTATAAAGTATAATTTACTAACTTTATAAAGCAAAAACATCACTGCGAAATGGTTTATACTTATAAGGCACGAAAATAACATAGAAGCATGTAGAAAGATAATTGAATTTCTAACTTCAGCTTCCAACTAAAGGAAAATTCGGACGAGTTCCTAACACATAAACTCATCTTTAACCCCTCCTTCAAAAAGTAAAAGTACAACTGATAAAAAATATATATTTCTTCATTTTTATTTTTTAAAATGTTTGAAAATCAGTGATTTTTCATTTTCGTTTTATATTTTTTTTCAGTTTTCTTTGTTTTATTTTTCCCAAAGGCGCTCACTGTCAATTCGCCACTATCCAGTCAGCATGGTTACGTCCGGTAAGGTGGTTAAGAAGCCTGTGCCGAAAGGGCCGACAAAGAAACAGCCTCTAAGGTTTTCTATTGAGTGCTCCGCTGAAGTTATTGAAAAGGATATTATTGATTTCGGCTTCTTTGTAAGTCTATTTGTGGTGCTTGCAGTTTCTGACTGCAGATTAGGGCCACATTCCCTAATCATGTATTACGCGCTTTTTAATAGGAAAAATATCTGAGGGACCGTATCAAAGTTAATGGAAAAGTCAAGAATCTTGGTAAGGATGTTCACGTTGAGCGTGATAAGACTACTATCCATGTCACCTCTTCAATTCCTTTCTCAAAGAGGTTTGTCTATGTTTTAAGATTTTATTACCTTGTTTAGGTATCTTAAGTACCTTACAAAGAAGTTTTTGAAGAATCACAACCTCCGTGATTATCTTCACGTTATCTCCACCAGTAAAACAGCTTATCAACTGAAATTCTTCAACTTTGATACCGAGGAAACTGATGATGAGCAATAATTGAGTGAATAAATGATGCCGGTTTTTGAGAAATTCCTTCTCTGTTCATCTGGGGTGGCAGAGTTTTAATTGGGGTTGGTTTTTTGGTGTTGGTGATGCTAGTGAATAACTAGTTTCGAGATTGAATGGACTGTTTTGTTTACGATGTTACTAGTCCTTTTTTAGTTCTCTGTGATTTCGAAGTATATTTTTAAAGTGGTTCGTTCTCCGAACCTTAGCGAGTGATATCAATGTTATGATACAATTTTCATTTGAGCGTGTTTATTTATTTGAAATAAGCATTGGTCTGATTGACGCCAAGTGCAGGTTAATCTTTGGACAATAGTGCCTAAATTTATTGATGGCATTTTTAGTAATTTCTAGAATGCGATGTCATGCACTGATTTTGTGGTATGCTATTGCTCAATTGGACTGTATTTGGTCCTTAAAATTTACCATTGCTCATGATATCAGTCAAGATACGATGCAATGAAAACTCTTAATAAAATAATTATATACTAACGCTCAGACTTCGGATAACTTTTCGCATTAATTTCCCAATGTGGTTGTGCTCGATTCGTGTTGGTTTCTTTTTTACCTAAGTTCTATCTCAGAACTGCTTGATATTACTCAATATGGTGCTGTGACGGCGTTCAATTTTTGAATTCCTGATTGCTGCTGATATTGTGGCTCGGACTGTCAATAAATCAAATCCCCCCAATCTGGAATAAGAAAGAACCAGGGGAACGTTTTTCTACATCGTCCTTATGAGTCTAGGGTTACGCTGTTCTTAAGGTTCTATCTTGAGCTCCACGTCTGTTTACCATTTTATCAATGCCAAATATTGATGATCTCTCCATCATTGTGCGTGGTTGATTTTCATGTTTCGATGAAGATCGTTAAAGTGAGTTTAGTTGTGGAGGGCTAAAAAATTTGGTTGATTAATATTTGTTTCTTTAATTTCTACCTTTTTTCTGCTTCTTGGGCTTTGAGAGACGAGTTTTCACTTGGGAGGTTTATTGCTATATTGCATCCAGTCGTTCTAAACTGAGCTAAAGTAAAGAGCAGATTGTAAAATTGCTTTAAATGCTGCTGAACGGACAAAATCCAAAATCTAGCCAATCAAATTTACTGTTAAAACCATTGTTGTGGACGTCACCATCTAGCTTAACTTTGGATTCTGTCATTCCAAAAAGCCAGGCAATCGCACCATCAGCAAGATGTGTTAAATTTGTTCAACACTATACAAGGATATATGTGCTATCCTAGTAAGACTTCTGATTAAATATTTATTTATACCAAATGGCAGACTTTATGTGAGTTATCGTTAGCCATTTGATTGACTTCGGGCTTCAGAGATTGGAGGACCGTGGTGGTTTGAAGTCAGACGTCAACTGCCGTGTTACAGGCTTTCTTGCTGTATGAGTATACATTGCCCGGGGTGCACCACAAGAGGTAAAACTATCGCGCGCCCCTCATTGTAATTCTCAAGCATAAAATCTTCGAAGATTCTAATATGAGACTGAGATTTTGTTCCATTTGAATTCTAAAAATAGTACCTGTTAGTCTAGGGCATCATCAAAATTCTTCGATATCGGACTTCCAGTTTTTTTGTATTGAATTACTTAAAGGAAAATGAAGAATAATTCCACTGTTTGTCTACAGAAAGCACGATTGCTATCTTCCGTTTTAAGTTTTCTCACCAAGCTTGGATATAAGGGTTTTCTTGTAGAAATGGCAAAAATAACACTACAGTAGTTCAGAGGTTAGGCATAGCTTTCTTGAAGCGTCAAAAGCACTCCTATTCGCATCGGTCTATTGCTTCCTAATTAGGAGCAGTTTAAGAACTTAAAACAGTCTTTGTATAAACAATACAATTTGGTCGAAACGCGATCACCTACAATCGAATTATTAAATGCAAACACGATTGTGTTTTAGCACTATCATTGCGCAAGAATTTGCACCTTGTAACGAATGGGCCTTGATGAAGGTCCATATCACAATCTTATGGCTTAATATTCTTCTGTCATGCAAGAAATACTCTACCATTGAAAACATTTTCAGTGAAAACATTTTTTCCTTGTTTATTATCATAGAAATGAGAGAAAACTGCGCTAGCTTCTAAGATATTAGCATAACTGGGTATTCATTTTCCGGACATTTTAGTATGGCTTGTAAATAGTGCCTGAAATCGAATAGTTTATAGGATCCATTTTACTTGTCACGTCAGGTATAGCAGGGGAATGGAAATTCAAATCATTAAAAACTGAATCCAACATTCAAGTGCATGGATTGGCGGGAAAGGGTAAAAAAATTTGCTTTCCATATGAACCAAGAATTCATCCATTTCGATGATTAAAAGGATGCTAATAGATCAGAAAGCCTTGTAAATTATCTTTTCAATGATTTAAAAATGGACTAAATTTAAGCACTTTGAATTATTCTGTGTCACATTATCTTACACTGAGATTAAACATGCAATACTTGATAAAAGGTAGACAAATTCTGAACCATGAATATTGAGATTATAAACATTATTTACGACAAATATTATATGTTTAGGATTCCGTATACTAGTAATGCTCGCAAAATAATAAAATATAAGTGCCTGAATCATTATTACTTTTCTAATATTTTAACTAGTATGTTTTTTAATTTAGTATTATTCAGTTGTTTTTATCAGTCACTTAAATTTTCTTTGCCAGCCAATCAACTTAGCGTTTCTCGCGATAACACAGTTGGGTGTGGTTGCTTGTGCTCGGATTAGCGTCAGCGGAAGGAATACACAATCGAAACATCTAAAATAATAATAATGGCGGAAGTGTATTCCATATATCTTATGGAAATTCTTATGCAATCCAGTGGTACTCTTTCTTTTGAAGATGCATGGCGCTATTTCTTAATGCAGTTTCCCCAAACCTGGGATAATTTTTCCGACTTTGAGTCATTCGTCATCTCCCAACCCGTTTTGTTTGGTGTGCAAAATAATTTCATATTTCTAAAGGATACTCAACCGCTTGATTCAATGGCCTTTATCTCTCCAGATTACAGTACCATGTATCCCGTTGCTCATGTCCATATGGCTCCACCACCACCCCCACCTCCTCCTATTATACAAACTCATGATTTTGCTGCGGAAACTGAGGCTGTAAAATACTTTCAGCGACAAATTGGTCGCCGTAGCGAGACTTGGGTTCCCATTAAGAGTTTAGCTGGTCATCTCTCCCAAGCCTCATCAAATATACGCTCTGTAGTCGGACCTCAATCAGAATTCAAATACTTCCTCCTTCGACATCCGCGTATATTTGAAGTCCAGGGTGACTTAGTTAGTCTACGAGAGGAGATTAAATCCTCCTATCTTGTTCGTCCATCGGCCCAACTTCGCCAGAATAGCTATCGTCGTAATCGTCCCCTTTCAATGTATGCTCCTTCTGGTATTTGCCCACAGCCTCTTTCTCAAACTATTTCTGACGTCTCTGAGTATCTCAATGTCGGTGGTGCGCAATCACAATCAGTTCAAAATATACCCCAACACTTTGATTCCGCAGATTCTCAACAAAACAAATGTCAAACTATTATCATATCTATTGCTGACTATATAGCTGCAATGTGGTTAAGGCAAGCTATTGAAAAGTTAGAAGCAAATGGAGAAAAGACTGTTCCATTAGATAATCTTATGCACGAATTTGTCTCCGCTCCAGTTAATATTCGCAATACTGTCGGGCAGACACGTGTTGAAGTGACTGGATTTCTGGAGAAATTCAGTCAACTCTTTGAGATTGACAAGAATGTATGCAAAAATCAGGTACTTGACAAATCGAGCACAACTTTTGTCATATCAGATACCACGTGTGCTAATGGACGCAACATCTCTCTGATAAATAAGAAAGGAGTTGCCTATTGTGTCTGCAAATCTTGGGGAATTATTGACCTGGGTCAACATGAACATGTTTTCTTTGACAGATCTCTCTTCAAGCATGTGGAAAATTTAACAAAACATTTCACAGTAAGTAAATTTTGTTTTTTTCTACTTGTTTTTTTTAAACAATGCTACTCGTCAGATCTGGGTCAATTTAAACTACGCAGTGGATTTTAATCAATCCCATTACATCACACAGAAAATACCCTATTTTGATTGTATATTTATGGCTATATGTAGCATAAAGAAATGCTCAATCTCTGTGATATTGCGCTTTATTTATTAGCTAAAGAGAAGCTCCTTTGGTTAATTGCACGAATTAAATTGCCAAAATGTGTTTAGATTACAGTTTATTAATTTCAGAATGAACTTGCGTTCTTGTAATGCTGAATGAACTCCGGTTTAGGAAATGCTTAAATTCCTTTCTTTATAGAATTTATAGTGAATTACAAGTTGAAAAACCCTACCTTTAATTTTACAATGTTTCATATTTGAGTGACAATTTGAACCACAGGCACCACATGAAGAAATTTGCTATCTCTCTACTGACTTACTAATGTCTTCAATTATTTGATGTAATATTATGCAAGGAATATGAAGGAAAATAGTGAAAATTCTATTTGACCTGTTTAGGTTGGTGAAACCTTATGCTTCAATGCCGTTCTGGCTCCCAAAGAATCCCGCGCAAAATGGCGTGCAACACGAGTTTGGAAGGAGTCAGATACCCTGGCTATTCAACTCTCGGGTCTTTCTTTGACACCTGTCGCAAACCCACTCCAAGCACAAAACGATTCGTTATCAGATTCTATTGGATCCTCTGATGGTAATTCCGATTCAGGCGTTCAAGATGCCACAGTTCAGAAGCCTTCCGCTCTAATAGATAATTTCTTTAACAAATCTGAATTCAATATTGTCCGATTGGATGTTGGCGATACGGAAAAACTCCTAGTTTTACAGGAGCCAGAGGGACTAGACGATGATAGTGATGACGAAGATATTCCACCACGTGAAAAATTTGCCAATGGAAATGTTCTAAGAAAATCTCCATCACCTGGTGATCAGAGTGATGATAACACTAGTTCGGATTTGAATACCATGTCGGATATACCTAGTATTTCTTCCTGTCTTCCTGGTAATTTTGTTTCCTCCGGAACACAAACTTACTTCACGGGGGATATACTAGCAAAAAAAGTCTACCATGAATCTAATGATGGCGAAACTGCGCAACAAGTTCAATAGTAAGTTAAATCAGCAACAATCGACGTTGTGGTAGCAGTAGAAGTCATGCATTTTCCACCCCCAATGCATAATCATACACCTCTCATGCCAGAGTCAGAGTGGTTACAACTCTTTCCTTTACTCTATCACTTGATTTATCAATATCTCGATAAGGCTGTGACTATATAGACGTGTCTTCTCTCTCTTATTCTCTTCTTTCAATCTGTCTCTCTTTTTTATTCTAATATTATACTTTGAATCTGATCATGCATTGATGTTTTCACTTGTCTTTACTATCTCCCTTCTCCCCTTAGAAATTCCTGTTTTTTTTAATTCATCGAAAATAAAGATCGTGTGTTCAGACGTGTACAATTGGTTTGTCATGTTTTTTTGCCATTTCATGGAGTAAGTATTATTTTACTATTATTACAATAGTTATCATACTAAAATGTAAATATAATCATGGATTAGTCATAAGGCTTATTTGAGCCTAAAATCTGTTTCGAGTTGCGTGGAAAAAAGGTGTTGCATGTAAATATCACATGATTTGGTGATACTGTTGCGTCTTTATTGCTTGTGATCTCAAAAAATCGACATTAAGCCGAACAATCAAGTAAATAAGGTCAAATCTCAACTAAAATTTAAGTTTGATTTAAACGAATATATTTGCCCAAACAAGAAATCACCATCTTGAGTAATTCTCCAGAAACAATTAGCTACCCCATAATCTATTAGCATTCATGGGCCCAATATGGGTCTAACAATAGAGCCTTAGTAACGATTAACAGTTAAGTCTGCAACCGAAAAATATTATTTTACAAATAGAGATGGATAAGTGTCAAATTTTCAGCACTTATTTTGGAATAGATATAGCGTCGTGCAGGTAGGTGTGGAAAATTTCAGGGCGCTTTACAGGGTAATGCAATTGATCAATTTAATTCTACTTATGAGTAAGATTTTGTGTTTTTGTTACCCAAGAAAAGATTTGCCAATCGTTGATTTATGGAGTAAAATAAATTGTCACTCCTAATAAAACAATTCACTGCTCTCAGTTGCGCAGGGTTCCGTTAGAAACCCGCTGTCTATTATTAGCTACCCTTGTTCGTTATTCATTACTTAACTACTACCGTGATCGGTAATTTCACATAGATAACTGAATTCAGCCTTAGCCTCTCTATATAACCAATGTAGAGGACCGCAGCACTTCCTCCGCGACGGTGGACGGCGCTCGTCCGAAGATCACGACAGTCTGGGAAAGTTAGTCTGTATGACTGTAGAAGTGTTTCCGCGACTAAATCCGAAACAAACTATCTATTATCATGCTTATTGCTTTTTAATTTTAGCAAAAAATTTTGTTAACAGCAAATATCCAGATTGTTTGTACCTCAGCAGTTTGCTTGCTCAAAACTTTCATTGCCCTTTGAGCCTATGATTTTTGTAGACCTTTTGTGTGAGAAGTTGACCTTTGAGACTAGTTTTTTTTGGTATGAGTAGTTGCGAGAGTTTTCATTGAATTCAAGGTATGTGGTTAAGGCCGAAACAATCCATTAAGTGTGGTAGCATAGCCCGTATTCTAATTTCATGTCGCTCCAACTCTCTTGATGCAGCTGATTTTTGTGGAAATTCGCTGTGCTAGCACAATCAAATCCGATCTTCTATAATGTTACGTTTTTTCCATTTACAGCAGCCCTGTAGTCTCCACTGCAATCCTCAATTTCATGCCTACTTGGTTTCATAGTATTGAGAGGAGGAGGAGGAGGGGGTGGGGGTGGGGGCTGTGACGCATTCACCAGTGATCTACATCTCATTATTCATTTATACCCTCTAATGATTTAGTTGACTCTCAGTCATCACGTGAGTGTCTGAAGAAGGGCTTATGCTGTTAATGGAAGTATGGCGTGCGTGAAATCCATGAGCACACTTGAAGAAAGCTACCAAATATAAACCCGAACTTTGCGAAAATCTAATCAACAAAATGTGAAAGTAGTGTTTGCTAAAATTCACCATTTATTGCACAAATAAGCACATTTTAAGTGTTTATTTAAAATATTTTATCTACTTTAATTTTTACTCCAATCACGCCATGAAGCAGGGAGTTCACATAACTCGAGCATTTAGTGATTATTTGAAGAATAGTATAAATCGAACTATTTCATCGAGTGAAGAAAGTAGTTTGAGTTTAGCCTTAACTAACATAGTTTTAAAAGTGAGAAATAGAACCAGCTCATAAATTTTCGTTTCTACCCACCCAGTATTCATATGTGAAATTAATTATGACAACACACGATTGGACGTGTATGGGCGTCAACCTAAAATTGGTCTAACTCCCGCAATCCTCAATCCAATAGAGAACTTTTTTTCATTTCCTTTTAAAAACAGCGCTGATGAGGGGGCTGCTTTAGATTCCTTCTTATTTTATTTTCTTGGTGCCGGGTGCCTATAAAAAAGTGGAATATCGAAAAATGTCAATTAAGTTGAAGTAAACTAATTACCGAATGCGTATTTATCTAACTACACAATTGGAGTACTTAATCTTTTCAAACTGACATGATGCCAATGATATATCCCACTGACTGGACTATGTGAATTACTTAATAGAAAATTGATAATTATAATTATTAGATAATAACTTTACAAGACGTTTGCAATACGGAATGATGAATAGACGTGAGCACCATAAAATGTGGTAAATGCGAAGTAGATTATGTGACGATATGGTGCATAGTTCAGAAATTTAATCTTAGTCTCCTCATTGGCAAATTTTGACTTCTAGAAGAGAAGGATCACACATGTACTTCTATCAACTGCCCAAGAAATTCTACAAATTGCCTGCATGAACTCGCTAAATACCCCAGGGGTCGACTTTTGGATTTTGAATTATGTGATATTCAAAGCCCATATTCAATAATTGAAAATTTGAAACAATGACTACTTCAGGTTTCAAATGAAGCTAAGGTTCTTCGAAATTCTCTCTTCATACTTCCGCAATTGAATGCTGCAAAGTTAGCTTTACCAAGAGTAACAATGGGGTATTTCATGCGTCGACAATTTCAAATCATTATATGTCTATGAATTAGTTGATTCAAAATACCATAATTTAGTGAATTACTCCGATTTCCTCAAACATGGGATTGATTTCCCAAGCATTATTGAATTCTAACAGCTTACTTATTTGGTAGACCTGGGTTTGTTACCCTGCAGGTCTCGTTAATTAATAAGGAAAATCAAGGATAACGTTTCTAAAAGGTGACCTGTTACAGAAAAGTGATCTACTTTCCATCACCCTAAATGAAAATATATATATATTTATTTATAACAAATGGCAGGCGTATTGATAGTTATCATTAGCCCTTTAGTTGACTTCGGGCTTCACAGAGGGGAGGAGGAACATCAAAGTGAGAAGAATTCAGGAAGGAGAATAGAAGGGTGTTTCAAAGATGCAAAAGAAACAGACGCAAAGGCTCAGAAAGGATAAGATGAGTAGCGGTAGGGGTCGAATATGACATACAGTGGGGGTGATGGTTGTTTGAAGTGAGATGTCAACTGCCGATTAATAGACTTTTTTGCTGTATGAGTATACGTTGTCCAGGATGCACCACGTGGAGGTAAGTCTATCACACACCCCTAAATGAAAATATTCGGGGGTTGTTATTAGACTACTTCAAAAAACTAGAAGGCCCACAAATCACATCTAAAATACTGTACTTTCTCAATTTTAAGTCCTTCGGCGAAGATAAATCTTTGTATTTGATTGAAATTAGAGTTAGTTTCGATGGAATTAGTATGGATTAAGGGAAGTTGTGTCGCCTATTTCTATTATTATTTAACCAATAAGTTCATTTGTTGGCGGTTAAGCAAAACTCCTTGGTCTTTCATTTAGAATATGGGTAACTGTGTTCTGAGGAGATTAAGAAATCATAATTCTGGTTGGATAGAAGTTGGTCGGTATCACTGTTCTTACAATTTCAAATTTTGATAATAATCGATAGGAAATTGAGGGAAACAGATTAAAGCTGCAAACTATAAACCTGCTGATAGCAGTCCAATTTGGAAAAGTTGGAAAACAGATGGAAAATCAATAATCGATCCATAAGTCAATGAGTGAGTCTTACATGAGAGGAAGTGATGCGATATCTGGATTAAATCGATAAAGGCCATTGACGACCCACATGGTCAAAGCGAGTGTTTAAGGATTTAAAGGCAAACTTATCATTCTGGTAAGTAAAAATTCTGGAGGAAAAATCCATAAGACTTCTATTGTTGATCAAACCCTTCATGTGAGAGGAGAAGGAGGTAATTAAGAAGATCCCAAACATACTGAGTGAACAAAATAATTAATTCTAGTAATTAACTCTTCATTTTGCCCATCATGCCCACAGACGGTGGAATAGTCATAAATGGTATAAGTGGGTGTCAATAAAATATTAAATTTAGCTGCGTACCAACACTTTTAATCATTCAGACTCAGACCAATTAGTTTGGAATGTTGATTGGGTGACATAGACCTTTAAAGAGCATAGAAACCGAAAGTTAAGAAGAACGTGCACATCTATTGAATAAAATGCGTTAAGTTACGTGGGAAATATATTGGAAGTATCCCAAAAAATATTATTTATTTTAAAATTAGCTTAAGTCATAACTTTAATTTACTAGAGAATTAAAATACGCTGTTTCGTGTGAATTCAAATGATAGGGCCATTACTTTAATCTAATTAGTGCCTTCATTTCTGAAAGAAATACACTTTTAATTCAAATTTAAAAAGACTTCCAACTTTAAGGAAAATTGTGCTGTTTATTGGTGCATTTCCTAGTGCAATGTTCCATAAGTGCAATTCTACGATCCTATACTCATCGCTAAAGTGAAAAACTATTTAACTTTATTTAGAAAAACGCGTTTACGGTTAATTGGTCAATTGACCAAATAGCTTTAAAATATTCCAAATGTTTAGCCTGATGAATGAACGAGCGTATAAGGATCGTATGTAGTTGATTATCAATAGCTTATCAATAGAAGGCACACG